GAAAATAAAATTTGGCCGTTCACATGCACATGCAGCACAGGAGGCGGAAACGAAGTTAACGTAATCATTAGCTTTCTGATTTAAAATCTGACAGTCAGAACTAAAATTTTTTTTAAATCTTGTCGGAAACATTTAATAAAATGTTGTCAAAATTTGCATATGTTTGTTTATTTTTGGCTTTAACCCTTTTGCACATCTGTGCCCATTTGAAGCCCACCATCGAGGCCCATGCGAGCATCAAGACAATCAATTTACGGCTCACGCGTAAACTGAATCTATTTGTGGGCTATGAGTACCATCACTCAATGCTTTGGCAAGCAGTCATGAATTCCTTGCTGTTTGTGTTTGGGGTCTGGCTCTGTCAACGTGAGGTCGATAGGAAGAGGGGTCGCACTATTGAGCAGGAGCTTAAGCTCAATGGTCCCTCTAAGATCTCTGCCGCAACCGAGGTGAAGTTGAATTGGTTGCGTAGCCGAGGGAAGCGCGCCTCCAGTTGGCAGCTGTTCCCGAAACGTATGTTCGCCTGGTTCAGTATGCCTTGGCTGTCGACCTTCCTGTTAAATGAGTTTTGCAACTATGCCCAACTTAATCTGATCATGAAGCACTTTTGCACCTCGACGCCGGAAGTGCTTCTACTCCATGTCCGTGTCCAGCTGCTCTACCTGCAACAATTACTGTCTAGCATTATTGGACCCTACTTGCTGCAATTCACTGGAGCCTTCGTGTCTCTTACTGCGTCCCATGCGAACTACATTAACTACGAGACCAATCTGTTTGTCAAAGAGGATTAAATGGGGCCYGCAAATTCAAATCTTTTGCAAATCGAAATTCTATGTAYACTTCGGCTCCTTCAGTTCACATAAATTTACGTAATAAATACGCATTTTGACGAGCGCAAACAAATTTTAAAGTATTCTTCCATGTTTTATGAACTTTATTCTTTACCCTATGCTGGCGGGCAGTTAATGCTGGCAAAAGTTTTCGGTCACCAGGGAACTGTCTACTTTTTC